GCCACGCCCTCCGCAATATTCATTGCCTTATAGAAGCTCAGTTTTAGTAAGTTTTCCAACTTTTGCCAAGAGGGAACTTTAGATATTGGTCCCTAGATTATGTTCACCGAGTTTCATGCAGATCAGTCAAACTTCCTAGGAAGAGATTGATTTTAAGTGTTTTTCAAAAAATTCAAAATGGCGGAAAATCTGATATAACCGGAAGTTATGGGTTCTTGAGGCAAATTTGTTCCTCATGAGGAGAGGCATCTCTGTGCAAAGTTTCATGTCTCTATGACATACGGGGCATGAGATATGCCCATTCAAAGTTTGCAATTTCAATCGGTTGCTATAGCGCCCCCCTTTGGCCAATTGATGTAATATTGCTTCATTCCTATCCGTCAGTGAGGAGAAAAACGTGGAACAGACACACAAACAGAGTTTTCGTAAGATAGACTGAAACCTGCCTTGTGCGCCCTCCTTGACTCATGGTTGGCCATGCTTGTTAACTAAGGGGGCGTGGCTATGATGCAGTCCATTTTAAATTATGTAAAACAATGTGATTGGTTTATAGACATCCTATTGAATACGTCTGTGCATTTGGGTGGAGTCAGGTGATAGTAATCGTAGATCTAGACATCCTAGAAAAGTCACATCCATTGGAATAAACAGGGGATCTGAACGGGTTAACACAACATCACTGACGAAAGACTCACATGGTTTGGAGTTGATCATAGGACGTGTTTTTTCCTCAGGAGGGAAGCTGATATTACCAAGAATGATTGCTGCTGGGGTGTTTGTGCTGATAGTAGTGACCATTCTAGTCACAACTTACTTCATCATCATCAGAATAAGGTGTGTATTTTATGTGGGGGTATACAGTGTGAGCTGCTGAAAAGCAAACTCAAACTAGTTTTGATCAGTTACTAAATCTTTATCCTTCCTTTATTGGAAGAAAATTCACTTCTGACACCAGGTGGTCAAATGCAAAACAACTAATACCTGTTTTCTTTACCTAGACGTGAGGTTTTGGTCGAACACCGTGTCTGTTATGGTAAGTTTCTCTTCTCCCTTTTTCTAAAAAACACCACATTAACTTATATGGCCTGGTGTGTGTTTCAGTTCCGCTGAGCTTCTCTGTCTTTCAGATGAAGGTGGTGCAATGGTGTGTGAATGAAACGAGGTGAGCTTGGAGCTGGTTTGAGGCTCCGTCTTTAAATTGTAGTCGATTGTTTTTAATTATTTTGTTGCTATGACAAAAAAATGTCTGTTAAAACAAATCACCCTGAATAAGACAGCACTGATTTCTTATCCTCCAAACACTTTCTGACACACAGGATCTTGGTCCACTCATCCAGTGACAAACACACACAGTCTGCACCAATGAGGATGTCACACACTTCGAAGTGATGGTTGTTAACTTAAATGAGAGAGACTGAAAAATTAAGTTTTGTCTTTTCCTTGAAGAGGGAAAAAAAGACTCTTAAAGTTGTTGTTTGTTGCATTTAGCATCATTTTGGCTGAAGTAAAACTGTCAACACATCCTGACCTAAAGAAGTTAAATTGCACACTTCGAGCCTCAGCACAACAAACATTTTCATTTCAATTTTATTTTATTTCATTGCTGTATATTTCCAAACTTCTATTTCATACTCTTATTCTCTCTTTTTTCCTTTTTTCAATTCAACTCAATTCCCGCTCTCTTAAATTTCACTGTGTGGTACTCCTCTATGATTGTCACTCATGTCATGCATCCAGTTTTAACTAACAAAACCTTTGGATTTAATAAACAATGGATGAGTAATCCAAACATTGGCAGCCATTCAATCCTGTCCAAACTGCTCACCCAGCATTAACACTGGGAAAAAAAGAGCTCTCCTGCTTCCTGTAATGGGAGCCCAAAATGGCAGTGAAGGGTAAAACAAATATGTAAATACAACTCTGGTTTATAAACTTGAATATAAGCTACAATATATTGGACCCATTTGTTACAATAATCACTCTGCAATTCAGCAACATTAGTCGTCAGTTCAGACTGAAATATCTCAAATACTGTTTTACTGATTGCTATGAATTTTTGTAAAGACACTGACGGTCCCCAAAGGAGGAATCCTACTGACTTGATAACACCCTGATTTTTCGTCGAGGGGCCTCGGCTCTGGTTACATGCTCCTGTCATTGACGTGAACGTGACACACTGGGACAGATGATTGGAAGACAAATGGGAGTAACTGAAAATCCACATGCAATGGTGACGGCGCAGGGAAAAGGTGCAGGCAGGTGCAGACACAGGTTTCAAGGGAAGACTCCTGCAGAGTACAGAGACAGGAAAGCAATGGCATGAAGCACCACTGACAAACTGGCATCTGACTGGAGAGAAGGAGCTGGTGTATGTACTGCAGGGCTGATTAGGGAGAGTGGAAACAGGTGTGCAGGTGAGGGCAGGTGACTGGGACCAGTGGGAAGGTCTGAGGGCATCTGGTGGACAGGTAGAGAATGGCAGGTGAAACAAACGACTCATGACCATTAGACTCACTCTGTGCTGTCAGAATATGTGACTGCTGTGTGAAACACTCTTGCGGGCTCATTTTTTATTTCCTGTGTTGTTTCATTTGTACTATATTGACATTTAGTGCTTAAGAAATTTGATTACAGTTACCATCTGTGCTGTCGGGATACGTGAGAACTCAATGTTGTTTTTTAATGTGTAAAATGACTAACATAAGGGCTCATTACATCTTTTAATTTGTTGTGCAGTTACATCTGTTTTCTGCTAAAAGTCTGTGCTTAAGATTTGTTTACAATCAGTGTAATGCTTCTAAGATATTCAGTCCTGTTGGTTGTTTATCAGATCAGGCTGGCGATGACTGACGGAAACTGTAAATCGTCTCTACATTTGCTTTGAACCATAACTTCTTGTTGTTAGTGGCTTTTGCTTCATAAAGTTACGCATTTTTTCTACAGAGCTTACTAAATCTGTGGTTTCTCAGTGTTTGTATGTTCTGAAGAGTTCTGTAACAACAGGAGACACATAAGAAATATAAGGTAAACGCTGTTTGAAGGGAGTGGAAGACAGTACTTTTATTTTTCATACTTTAAAGGAAAACTTTACCCCCGAAATGACCATTTGTAAATTGATCACTCACCCCGTGTTACGGTTAATTTGTGAAGACTCACATGCCTCAATGGTGACCAATGAATCCCAAAACAGATGGAATTATTGATGAATTGAAGTCATAGGGGTCCAACCACAAGCAAAATGATATCAAAGCAACCTTTTACAAACTCTCACAACCCGTGCAGTATAAACCAAGTCTCATTTATCCAGTCATATGCTCAGTACTTCCCTTATTCATACTCTCTTTAAAGCCAGACTTAACTGACAGAAACAGTGATTTTACCGCTGCCTCAATCAGACGTTTGTCAGTGTTTTAAGGCTCGTCCGCGCAGATTGGAGCAACAGCAATCGCTGCACAATGCATGTTGGTTAGATTTGTGTCTGATTTCATCCCGACTTGCTCTGACGTCTTACAAAAGCATACAGTCATAATCTCACATGAGCAAAGCGGCCGCAGTTTTTAGAGCCAGGTGCTGCAGTTGCTCTCCACCGACTGCAAGACCCAAGGCATGATGGGAAACGCCTGGCTCTCACCTGATCTAACAGCTGATTGGTTTAGAAGTTCACTCAACAAGATGACTTTATAGACAAACTTTCTTAAATTTCAGCGATTTTAAATTTTATTTGTCTGATTTAAAGGTTTATTTTGTTAACATAAAACATGTTGTGTGACTGACGGTGATGTTTAGTCGTCAGAGACTAAAGACATTCATCATAAACTATACAGAGTCTACTGTACATTAACACTGGACTGTTTAAATCATTGAAGTATTTAGCAAGACATGATCAGTGAGATGGGAGGATTCTTAAAATAACATGAAGGCCTGACTATATCTGACTGATCTTTAATAAAAGCTGTTGTCTTGTATTTTTTCCTCTGAAAACATTAACACAATTTATTTAGCCTGTGTAGTTGAGGGGACAGGTCCGCTCTGCAGCAGCAAACTGATATAATGCTGATTTACATGAGAATTTATGTGAAACAGAGGTTGAGCCATGAACATAAATTACAGATCGCCTGTGAGGCATTTTAATAGGATACTCTGTCATGATGAAAACAATTAGAGACTGAGAACAAACTGATATATGAGTCTGATAACATTTTAATTATCGACATCAGATCCAACAGGATGTGAGTGTTTCTGTGACTTTCTGTACAGACTTAGGGGGGCACAGTTCATCTCGAACTAGCCTATTGTGTGACTTTGCAAAACTAACCTTTTACAACACCAAAGTAAAATCAGTTTTTGTTAATGGTTCAGTTTCCTGTTGGAGAGAGCTGTCTCTTTGGGAAGTGCTGAGCAAACGACTAGATGAACGAGACTTAAGTTATACTGCACGAGCTGTGTGAGAGTTTGTAAACTGATGTTTTGATAAAGTTTTGTTTCTGTCAAACTCGGACCCCTTTTATTACAACTCACCAAGAATTTTCTATTTTTGGATTCTTTGTTCAACGGAGGCACGCGAGAAAAACTAAAAAAGGTTTCTGCATGACTTGGACGTAACACAGGGCGAGTGACTGATATACAAATGGTCATTTGAAGTATTCCTTTAAGTACGTTTTGCTTATGGAGGATGAAGGACTTGTTATGGAATAAAAGATCTGCGTACTTCTTCCACCTCTGGCGTTATGACAGTGTTTCCCTATAAGATAGTTAGACAAGAGATGGAAAAATGCAGCAAACCTTCCTCTCATAAAGCAACAGACGTGTCACTGTGAGACTGTTTGAATATTTTTATTCCAAAAGAAGTTTGTGTGTCTATAGGTTTGAACAACAGGGCGATCTCTCCGAAGAACATCACGGCATCTTCATCCCAACACCACCCGTCCCCCACCCTCCACCCACAGTCACACTATAGAACCTCTTGCTCTTCAATAGGAATAATAACAACAATTTAATCATAATATTCATCATCAGTTTTAATAATCCATTTAGCACTAGTATAGAAATATGAAAAAATACCAAAGAAAAGAACATAAAAGTAAACAAAAAGGTTTGTTTTGTGGAGCGACTGTTCGGACACCCCATCAGATTTGTTTTGTGACCCTCCCTTCCCTTTAATATTCCTACTAGCAATATTTTTGCACGCTCCTCTCGCCTTTCCACGACAATGCTTTGCAGCTCATAAACACTTTCAGCTGATGGTTTAAAGCTGTCGATAGCCACGTGTTGGCCATACGGTGCTGTCACATATCAGATTTTTTGATTTTATACACATAACAAACCAAAGAAGACATAGAAAAGAGACAAATTTTAAAAAGAACAAAAAACAACCAGTGGGTTTACAACCTTTAGACAACAAGGGAATTGGAAATGAAGATGTTGTGGACGAGTGTGTCTCTGTTTGTGTTTGTGTTTGTGTGTGTGAGTGTACTGTGACTTCTCCTGAAAAGGGGCTGGCTCGTGTTGCCTTGTCAGCATTCTGAACACAAAGGCAGAAGTAAACAGAGAGAAAGAGACACATCAAACCCGGGCCTGCTTCTGCTGACAGCAATCATTCGGAGAAACAGTGTAATGTGTGCAAACAATGTTATCAGTCATTATCTGGAGCACGACACTGTCGACAAATCTGTTCCGCTGCAAAATGCATACTTTCATACAGCACTGCAATGTTGGCTCAGACAACAATGCCACTGTTTCCTTTTTCAGGTTATTTGTGAAGGGCTGAACTGGTTGGATTGCATGTTGCGTCACACACTTTGTATTACTGTTGAAAATGGGTGGGTGGGAAGCCAGTGAGGGATTATGTTCCTGTTTGGGTGACAGCAGGAAGCTCCTCACTTGAAGGTGAAACAGCTGGTACATTTATGTGTATTGGAGGAGACTCATGAGTGTCAAGGACTAGTGTTGAAAATTTTGGTACTTTTTTGGTAATTTTCTGTGAAAAATGGTTCAGTGTTAAAATTTCCCAACGTTCTGTTAAATGTGTCGTGATCAGGGGACATTTCAGCTGAGAATTAATCTCTGTTAATACAGCGCAACCCTTAGCTCTGACTGAGAGAAAAGCAGTGCCTCATGGTGTCTACTACTGACAGCAACAGCGTAAATGATACCTCAAAGCCCTGTACTGGTTAAAAAAACTGGCTGAAGTCGACAGTGGGACTATTTTGCCTACCTAGCTGACACTGATGGTGAACCCACTGACATAACGACGCCTGTATGTAAAAGCTGCTATAAAACAGTGTCGTACAAGGGAGGAAACACTACATAATCTCGCTAAGCAGCTCAGACAGTGACAGACACCAAGAACACGACAGGTTAGCAATGAGCTAGCGGTAGCGCTGTGAAAAGCTGCTGTATTATATGGAATATGCAGCTGATCATGAGCGTCACATATCAATATGAGGCCTACTGTGTATCGTTAACAGCATGACAAGTTCCAAAACGACAAACGTATTAAGCTATAGTTATTTGGGAGTCTCATTTTGGTGCTTTTCAAAATGATTAAATTGTGAAATAGCATTGGGCTAATATTACTACTAGCTACATGTCACTTACAAACTACAGTGGCTCGATATTTTCACAAAGAACAGCGAGTAAAAAAGGCAAATTCCCACCACAAATTTAGCTAACATAACATCGCCCACAGTGATTGGTTGAATTATAGTTTGTGATTTTGGAACTCTCCATAGAATAATATATGGGCATTGTGCAGGGCAGGTCCATGATACATAATCTTGACATTTAATCCAGTAAATATAACCAACGATTAGCACTGAATTAGCACTGTATGAAACTAGAATGAAATCCTTGTGCGCTCTGTGAGTCTCATGGTTTTACAATAAAGTGTGATCAAGCCTTGTGGACATTTTGTTTCTGATCTATTTGGTATCGATTATCAAATCAGTATTGTTTCAGTATTGGTGTATTCTGATAGTAAACTTGGTATCAAAGTCAACATTTTGGTATCTTGACAACACTATCAAGGACTGTGGTACAAATGGAGAAGGGAAAAGAAAAAGTCTATTGGAAACACTGACTGACTGATAGAAGTGAGAATCAGCTGCTGATACATTCATGAAATCTGCTGTCAGGATATCAAACCATAAAAGATAAACAATGAGCATACACTGAACATGATGATGGGAATTCAGTAATTTCTTGCATCGAAAACGTTGCATCAGCTCACCATCAAACAACAAAAAAGACTTTTTTTAGAACAAAGTATGTCAACTGTAACTAAGGGTGTGTTTAAAACCGCCTCCTAGTTCAGTAAGTGGTGAATCACTCCACAGTGAATATTTTGGGAACCGATTAGATTCAATGAACACTGAGACACTGATGAGTCAATGACCTGCGGAGCAGAAAATGCTAATCCAGCACTTGATCATGATTACATATAAAAAAGAAAATGGGACGATAGGCTATTGTGGAAAAAAATCAGGACATTTGTTTCTGAGGGGACGTTTCACAGAGGTGTTCGTACCACAGAGACACAGCAGCCGCACATTAGAGTGATTACAGGTATGTTTGGAGTAAACAAACAGGAAGTCATGCTGCAGTAACCAATCACACCTCATTTAGTATGGATCTAAAACCAGGGTGTCTGCAGGTATCAGACACTTTAATGCTTTTTAAGACTGTTTCAAGATCATTTTAAAGGAAATGATCTGATCTTTGGACAAATGATCTTCTTCTTATTAAAGCATTGCAGTTAAGTATGAAGATAAGTAGTACATTAATGTGATCCAGTCTATAGGTAGTTTTTATGTAGGTTTACGGTTATTAGAGTGAGTAAGTTACATTTTGACAACAGGTAGGTGTAAGTATCAAGTTAAAAGACAGTATTAGGTTCAGTGGTAGGTTTAAAAACTTGCAACATCAGAAATGTTGACATTTACGCAGAAGAACTTGACAAAATTGATAAATGGTATTAGATGTTTAGGGCGTCGGTGTAGAATGAGTGAATTACAGACAGCTAACTAGCTCGACGACATGGCCAATTGCAAGTATAACGCTGAATGTTTTAATCTGTGGGGACCTTGAACTAATGACGAAGGAAAAATCTGGAAGCTGTGGCTGGACCAATAGGGAACCACAGGTCTGAAAATGAGATGCTATATCTCAAGGGGCTACCCTTTCAATAAATCCAAATTAAGACCTCACAAATTCAAATTTTAGAATATCAAATGACTCTGAATTTAAGACTTTTTAAGGACCTGCAGACACCCTGAAAAATGATCTTATCAGTTTCAGTGGTGATCCTTGATGATCAATGGAAGCAAGTACTTAATTACTTTTGGATGAATACGATGATTGATCTGCAACCTGGTGGCCTCAACACATTCAGCATTTATTTTCCCTACAATTAAAGCAGACTTTGAAGGATTAGGCTGCCAGTGTTGTCAACAAAAGTCAATGAAAAGACCAAAAACCATTAATGTGTTGATCTATCTCACCATAGTTTCCAGCTTCTGCAGCCTGTTTGTGACACTCAGCGCCTTTAGTCCCACAGAAGACCTAACTCTTAAAAAAATGGGCACAAATATATTAATTTTTTAATTGTTTTTAGCAAACATTACTCAAACCAGTGCAGCAGTGTGACTCATTAATGCGTTTTAAACAATGGAGGTCGATAGCACAGAGGAATAAGCTACATGAGGCTTTGGCTACTGAGATCAGCTCATTGTTGGTTTTGGTGTTTTCACTGGATTTGTCCACAATAAGAAAAATACAACCAGCCTTGTCTCTAATGTTCTTTGTGATTACAATGCAATAACTTGCCATGAAAGCTACTTGGGAGATTGGAAATCGGTTTAGAAACTTCTGGTTTGCCTGCAATAATCATCAGCAATAACATAAGTGTGCACAATTTAAAGTTAAAGAACTAAAACATGCAAATCCACCAGTGTGTTCCCTTTAAGCACCGCAGCTAATAAACTGTAGTGTTTAGCTTCAGTTGGAGTTTAACAAAACAGCAGGACTTTAACATTAACAGCATAATTAAAAGAAACCAGGTTCCCTTCGCAGCCGGAGTGAAAAACATGTATTTCTTCTAAATCTATTTATCAGCATGTTTCCCTGTGTTCAGCCCCTCCTGAATGAGTCCCCCGCCACCGAGGGGAGTAATTAGGCGATCAAAAGCTTGAGACAGTATTGACAAGGCTATGTTGAGTCTATCACTCTGGCAGGAGCCTCCACTGAGGACGGCCAAGTCTGTCAGTTAAACAGAGAGAAGGGAAGAAGCTGTAGCTACAGCCTGCTGGCGCATTAACAAGCCCCTTAAAAGATGCCCAGAATTAACAGATCAGGACAGATCTAATAATGGAAGTAGTTCAGTTAGGGATTTCTAATTCAAATTCAGTAGTGTCCTTTTCACTCTCTGCCTCCTTCTATCTCCTCTCTTTCTGTTCTCCTCTATCTTGGCTCTCTGGCTCTGCCTCGCCCCGGTCTCTCTATCTCCTCCACGCTGTGTGAACGGAGGTGAAAAAGACGTAAAGACTTGGCAAGTGTTACCCAGGATAACGAGGGACATTAATTTCACATTTCAAAGCCTCTTGCTCTTTCTCCTCTTTTTTTTGCGGCTGTCTGATTATCTTACATTTGTAGAAGGGTGCCGTTGCTGGATACATGGTTCTCCTCACTTTGAGTAGTTACAGACAGACTTACAGGGAGCACATTGTTACACACACACACACGCACAGTATAAAGAAAGGCAGACCAACAGTTTCCTCTGCTACTGTTTGCATTATGTTGCCGTCTTGAAGTCCTTTCATCCACCTTCCCTGATACCATCCAGAAAGCAGCTATGGGGCACAGGGAGGGACACAAAACTCGTGAACACAATTAGCCGCAGTCGAGTTTCTTAGTATGTTATAATCCACCATATTGTCACACGTAGTCTGTATTTAACTCTGTAATTCCCACTTAGAACAATGGTAACAAAACAAGAAAGACAACAAAAGAAAAAAACAACAGGAAATAATTCTCTGGAAGTCTTTTAGTTGCTGTTTTAAATCACATACGGATACAGTATGTCCTCCAACAAGGCTTCATTTTACTAGAGGGGTAGTTAGCTTTCAGGGAAGTGTCTGCAGGAGAAAACCAGCGCCCTCAAATCTAAAGGAGTGAGAGGGGGAGTAAGGAGAGAAAAAGGAAGCCAATGGAAACCATCATCTGGTCATGTGCATTTCTGTTCAGATTCGTCCCAACTGAAGATCATTGAAGCTTAACTGACGACCATCTCACAGCGTGCTCGTATAAAGTTCTGTATCTGTAAGCCTCAAGCTCTGCTGGAGAAAGGGTCATGGTTTGGCTTCATTCTCCTTTTAAAGGCCGTCTCATCTTCCATTGGCTTACGTTGCCGATTTTGTTTTTTTCCTCCATCACTCCCTCATTTCGTTCTCCAATAAATTTCATCTGTGGAAACAAGCAGTGTTTCTCTCAGCAGCACAAATGGTCCTCAGTCACATCAACTGCCCTCTCACCCCGCACACTACTTCTGGTCTCAGTCCTGGTCACCCAGTAGATCTGTGGTGTTGCTGTTCTGTGGAGGTGGAATGGGTCGGGAGGTATGAGGCGGAGGGCTGTGGTGTAGCCGCCTTGGACTGGGCCCCCCTCCGCCCTCACTGTCTGTGTTGGATGAGGATGGGGGTGGGGGAGGGGGCAGCCTGGGCAGGGGTGCTGATGAAGGTGGTATTCTTGTTGAGGTTGATCCTATACTGCTGCCTGATCTCAGGCTCTGGATCCTCCGGCACTCCTGGCAGATCCGCACGTGGGTGCAGCTGCGGGCGGGCAGCATCACAGGGGTAGGGGCTGGTGGAGGAGGGGTGGTGTTGGCCCCTAGTGGTTCATCTAGGATCCGCTGGGGCCCTGGGCCCAGGTCAGGAGGCCCTGCCCCTCCTGCTCCACCTCCTCCACCTCCAGCTCCACCTGTCAGTGGGCCAGCTCCACTGTAGAGCTTGCCGTTGCTGAGGCGCATCTCCCGGACGAGGCGCAGGGGCCGAGGGGCCCCCAGGGCTATGCGTGTGGGATGGCGCAGGGCCGCGGAGCTGCTGAGGGGCCGACGGCGGCGCATACGGGAGCTCTTCTTACAGGAGACGGCGTTTCGGAACTCTGTGATCATCTCCTGACAGACAGACACCTACAGGAGAGAAGGAAGTAGGGAGGAAAGAGGGAAAGACGGAAGGGAAGGAGGCAAAGGTAGGAGGGGCGCCACAGACACAAAGTAGGCAGGCAGCAGAACAAGACGGTGGTAAGGCAGTACATAAATAGGAGAGCGGAGGGAAAACAAGAGAGGTGAAAGGAAAAGCAAAAAAAAAAAAAGAAGAAGAACAAGGCGAGAACAAGGCAGAAGGAACAGACACAGTAAGGCATGGGAAAAGAAAAAGTCATAGGAGAAGCGAGGGCACAGAGATCAACAAATGGAGGGATGGTTTGAAAAAAGAAACAAGGAGGTGATGGGGAAGGATGTGGAGACGGATAGAGATGGGAGAATATCCAAGGAGCAGAGAGAGTTATTACAATCCAAACACACAAAACACCAAAATGTTGTTTAGTTCATGGGCACTTCATTATGGCACTATGCACTATGAACGGACAGGCAGGCCTGCAAACTCAGGTGCACATACACAAAGGCACACTCACACACACCCTCACACACACACGGTAAAACACCCACAGATCTTTGTCATCATTCCAACAGCATGACCACTGTAGTTTGCACACATGACGGACAAAATGCATCAACATGTCCACTACAAACAAACAACATTCTCATTGAAATCATAATTCAAAAAAAAAAAAGTCATGTGCTCACATAAACAGAAACAATATTCATTATCGGAGAACAGACACTGATGACAGGAGTTGTGTGTGTTTGAGAGAGACAGAGAGGGAGACACACAGTGAAATGGGTGAGAAGTAATCCAAGAATGGAAACGAAGAATACCAGCGTACATGTGAGGCATGTAAAAGAAGATACATCATGACATTTAATGCCAGGGAAAAAGATCACACTACTTCTTTATGCAAGCAAATATTGGCATTTCTCAATATTGCTTATCCGTACCATCAAGTTTAGCTCACAAACACTTGCTGCCATACTGTTAAACACCAAACACTAAAAGGCCACAATGACTTCCAAAAAAAAAGAAAAGAAAAAAAGGCAGGACATGCAAAGTCAAAATTCTCTATTTGTTATTTACATTTTGGACACTACAGCAGTTCAGAGCCGCATACTTGAACATTCCTCTAATCTCACATGCACATAACACACTGAACTTCAAATGTTAGAGCGCACACAAACAAAAACATTCAAATGGAGGCAGAAGCTGAAAGAAATCTACCCACTCTCACACACAAACACACACACACACACACACACACACACACACACACACACACACACACACACACAAAACAACATAATCAAAAGGGTTGGCGGGATGCCATGGGAACCTACTGGGGTGTGTCTGTGGGGTCGGCGAGGGCAGGTATGGGGGCATACCTCATCGGTCTCTGCAGAGCGGCGTGTCGACCACACAAACTCCATAATGGCCACAAACACAGCAATGATGAGGCCACAGATCAGCACCACAAAGATGCCCCCAATGTTCTCCATGCCCAGACCTGAGAGTGTGCCAAAGAAGACAAATGTTAGTACACACATGCAGAAACACACAAACACTGGCAGGGTTGTAAGCTTCGTTTAAATGTATTACTTTAGATTTATATTTACTGTTTGCTGTCTTGCCATGAGTTAGAGGAGAAGATTGATACCACTCTTGTGTCTGCATGATAAATATGGAGCTTCTGCCAGTTAGCTTAGCTTAGCACAAAACTGGAAACGGGTAAACAGCTAACCTGGCTTTGTCCAAATGTTACAAAACCCCCTTATGCTTGCCAAGCAATAGGCGGAGACTTAGGAACGTTAGCGACCATAGGACCTCAACTTGGGATTGCACATTGTTTAGATGGCCCAGGATTCCCAAGCTGCAACAGTCCGAAAAATATCCCACTGGATTTTGAGGTCATCTGTACAACTGCCTGTCAACCCAAAAGCAAACGCCCATTGTGGGGCCATTTCTCTGATGGCAGCAACCCTCCTTCATTGGTTATGTTGGTTAGCTTTAGGCATGAGGAATGAGACTGGTTGGGGCAGTGCTGAACTTGCTTTTTGAAAAACGTAATTTATTACTCATTACACTTTTGAAATATATTGTCATTTTACATTTTACTCTCTGCCAACACTAATTTGTTACACTACTCATTATAAATTGTTAATTTTTGTCCTTTCTCGTCAACATTTAGACCTCGTCTGCACGTGCCCCTTTTCCACAAGCTTCACGTTGTTGTGCTGTCAGTCGTAGTCGATGTTTCAGGATGTTTGTTTGTGCTCTTTAAGCATCTGAGGAAGAGCTGTTTTGTGGCTCGAAACGTTATGCGGTGAATAAATACTCACTCTATTGGAGCTACTTGGTGTGCGGACATGTGTTTCTTGCTTTACATGTGGCTTTTTTTGTCCAGCACCCATCCCTAAATTGGGTATGAGGATGTGCGTGTTGTTTTCACCTTTGTTCAGGATGTTTGAGGCAACAACAATGTTCCTGTCATCTTTTGTACCGACAAACTGAAGGCTGCTGAATGTGAGCGTTTCTATCTTCTAGGCTTGCTCGCTGCTTTGTGATGTGTATGCACAACAATTATGAAAATGAATCCAAGGATGTGACTGACTGTTGGATTTCAAATCAGTTGGTGGGTGACAACAAATGTAAGGTTGTAATAAGTTATTTGTTTTTGAGGTAACTTTAATAGTGTGACTGTTATTTTATTAGTAATTTGTTACACCACTATTTACTGGGAAAAGTAATATTATTGCTGTAATGCACTACTAGTAACGTGTTACTGCCCAACACTGGGTTAAGGTTAGTGTAAGACTATCAAGGTAGGCTTATCCAAGGCAGAATAGGAGGGGTCAGGCCTTTGCCCCCGATGACGTCATTCAGAATAATAATTAGCCATGTGCTTCTGTTTGGGAGAGCATACAGTATGTTTTTGGAAAAATGGCTCTTTAGAGCAATGAGTGTTTGATTTCAGGATAACAGGTGCTTGACATTTGGTAAGTGTCTTTCAACGGAAATTAAACAGTAGCTCATCATTTTTCTTTTTATGCTGACACATTTAGTGAAGCGTATTCTTCAAAGACAATTTTTTAAACCATACAAATATCCTGCTGTGTATGTGTTGATTTCTTCTCATGAAGCACATATGAACAATATTTTGGTTCAGTAAAAGTCTACCATCAGTCAGCCTGGTTAAGGCAGTTTGGCTGGTCGCTGTCCTCTAAGCTCACCGGGAGCTGCTGCTGGGAAACATCTGCCTCTGTCTACAGAGACGTGACATACAGGTGGGAGTTGATGTGGCTTGCACTATGTCCATGGTGATGTTAGGAACACGACCCAATCACATTGCATATCAAAATAAGATGAACGATTGCAGCATTACAAAATTTCAGGTGCGCAACATGAAAGGAAAGTCTCAAGCAAAACAAAATGCATTGTTTCTATCAGGTGACACTCATCTAAACTAAGCTAAACCAACCAGCTGCTGAGTGGTATCAATGTTCTCATCTATCTCTCTGCAACAAAGAGAAAAAGCCTGTTTCTTAAAATGTCAAAACTATTCATTTAAGTCTGAGAAAATCACTGAAATGACCTCACTTTCGTATCTCAGTTTAGGCTTGGAGACCACTAATTTTTTATCGACAGCCTGTGTAACAAACTGCAGGGAGTTTAATAGAGATGGGCCTTAGCACTCAGGGAGGGTCTAAGTGTAGGATTTTAAAAAATGGATTTCTCTGCCTGTGCGGCTCCAATTTCTTTTCAAAAAAATCTGTCTCTCGCAAGTATCTCAACTTTATGTAAGTGCAATACTAAAACGTTGGAGTGCTCTTTCAATTGAATTAAAAAGTTCAAATTGCCCATGATGAAGTGGCTGAGTGAATACCAGAATTATGGGGAACACTTCAGATACACAGTACAGATGAAGCTCAACGAAGCTGAAAAGTGAGGCGTGAAGTCTGTTTTTTCCAGACTTACCAAAAACATTTTCAGAGAGATTTTCGTTAGACAGCAGTGGGATAAACGTTGAGGCATTTCCCCTGTCTTTGTCATTTATACAGGTACACACACATGCACATTTAGCACACTTGTGTGAACAGACACACTCACTCTAATAAAATTCCCATTACACACCACCTGAGACAAACAGAAGACATTTGGGAAAGTGGATTGTGCTAAGCACGCTTCACAAGGACATTAGGTTAGGCATTAGCCATTAGCTGGACTGTAGCAGAAAGTGAGGAGACTATTACTGGGGACATTAGAGAGAAGGAGGGAGAGGAGACAGACAGCTGCGGTCGACTGACCCTTGGCACGGTGGTCCTCCTCTTTGGGGCATTGGCCTCCCTCCCACCACCTCCTCTTCAGTATCTCCAGCCTGTTATTCTCCTGCAGCTGGAGGATGGCCAGCGTGATTTCATCTCTGAATGGAGACCCTGGGAAATGACAGGAAAGCAGGATAAGAGCAAGTGGTGGAGGATGAAAAAGGCACAGCAAAAGAGCCTGAACAAGAGAAGGGTTATTTCAGAAGAGGAGAGAAACATGAAATGAGGAGAGAAGAAAGTGTAAGAGAAAAGGGGAAGAAATCGCAGGGATAGAATAGCTGTTGCAGCCTCGAGATGGCTATGAGTGATTTTACTTTGAAAATAAAGAGAGGATTAGTGAGAGATAAAGAGCGAGATTACAACCAGACAGAGCCAGTGGTACAGCTGCTAGTCACACAGCATACAAAGCATGTTATGAACTAGATACAGTAGAAAAGAAAGGGAGGTTTTAAGGGTCAGTTCACCAGAAAATGCAAATATATCTTCTCAGTTATTCCAGTGATTTCTATTCATGAATATAATCTGCAGGCCTCAGTGTGAGCAGTTTTCATGGGACTACTTCCTGCGAGAAAATACACCCTATGAAAATTGTTGACAGAGTGTTCCGCAAATTGTGACGGGATACTGTTTCTACATCACCTGTTAGAGCCGTTATTGTCTGAGAGGACAAATCAATTCACACCATGACAAACCATTTCAGAAATACAACAGTTTTATCCCCCACTGTGACACAGATCCTGAACTACTGCATCTCCACAAGCGTAAGCTTCCCTGTGAGTGAGGACTGGATCTGCTGTTAGATTTGTATGTGAACAGCCACCGTGTGTTGCTGTCCATGCTGATGTTGATAGAAGGTTTGCTTTTACACACTGTACCAAAGTCCACCAGCAAATCTGTGTGATCAGAGTGAATTATATTCAATAAAAGGAAATAGTTCAATATAAGCGTAATTGCGGTCTTGCAGAGTTAGATAAAAAGATTGATACTGCTCTTATATTTGTCTGTTCAATATGAGGCTACAGCTAGGAGATTTAATTTAATTTAATTTAGCTTATTTGATAGGGACAATGCAGGTTAACATAGTAACACTTCCACTCGTTACAAACAAGTCAATGTGACTGATGTTCTGCATACAGAGATTATAGCTAATGCTAGTTTCCAATTCCCGTCCCTAGTTAGGCTTTTAGTAAAAGAAAAAAGATAAGAAAAAAGACATCAAAATTACATACCAATACAATAAAATGTACAGTACATCTGAAATCATACCAAGTCATGACCCATTAAAAGTGCATGCAGTTCTGATTTTGTTTCAGCCAGACTTTAACATTTTTATTAAAAATCCTTATGTCTCGGGTTAGTTTTATTTCGGTCGGTAGTGAGTTCCACATCTGGGAGCCCTTTATAGAGAAGGCTGATTGGCCAAAGGAGGTCTTACGGCGCAAGATTTTACAGTTACCACTTGCTGTACCCCTGGTGATCCTATCACTGAGTTCTGCAAACACTTAAAAACCAGTTTAACAGAAGAAAATTTTAGGAAATTATCAAAACTAAGCAAATTGTACTGCTTCAAAATGTGACAGTGATGCCACCTTATAGGTTTCTTGGCCGTTATTTTTAAGGTTTGATTATACAGAGATGCAATTAACTTAATTGTAGTCGGAGAGGCCTGATTCTCTCCGACTACAGATGATTAGCTTAGCTGGAGACAACTAGACTGGCTCTGTGCAAATGGTAAGTTAAATCTATCTACCAGCATCTGTAAAGCCAACTAACATTTTATGTCTTGTGTTCTTATCTGCAGAAAAAACGAAATGTAAAAACAACAAGTGAGAGTTTCACAGGGGTTTTGTGCCAGACAATTTCCTCCTGGAGTCTTGAAGACACTGTTCCCTAACAAGAAACAGTCCAGCAAATAACTGTGTAAAACCACATTATTTATCTTAGGACAGAGGCCAGGTTAGCTCTTTCTCTATGTATCCAGCCTTTTGCTAAGCAAAGCTGACCGTCCCCTGGCTGTAGTTTCATACAGCGCACTGACTTCAAGTGGTATCCATCATCTAACGCCCAACATTCAAAAATATTCCTCTTTCTTTGAATTGAACTATGCTTAGTCACAAGAGCTAAGAAAATGCAACCCAATCACCAGAGAAAATGTTGGCATTGCATGTTTCTGCAAACCACACATTACATTATGTAACACATACATTGAAACCTTACATTTCAACAATGCTGTGGTCAACATGTGGTTAGGTGTGGTTGCAAAAACCACTTAGTCATGGTCAGGAAAAGATCATGTTTTGGCTTAAAATACCTGGTTTTAGCATCACAATCCAAACTGTAAAATCAGCCACAGGTTGCTAAAAAACTGCTGTTTGTTGGTCTTAAACAGTGGTCTGCAGCCTGGCAGGTGTCTCAGCTAGGTGTACGCCTGCCACCGACCCCCCCCCGGTGACAAAGTCAGCTCATATACTGCGTATTTTCAGCTAGTTGATATGATGCATTTAAAACGTCCAATGCCAACCCTTTAAAAGTATTTCTAAATATCTAGATGTCTCTAAGGGATGAGCGAGTACTTTATTATCTGTGTCTGTATCTCTTCATTCCGTATCTCGGAATGGGTGGAGTTTAAACCTTAAGTGGGTGTGGCCTAATCAGAGTCGATCAAGAGTATATTTAAAGAACGATCACAGGATTGAGATCAAGATCATTTTTGATCACAAGTGTTAAGAGACTGAACAAAGCTACCCACATGAGGATTTTCCTTCATCAGTACTGACATTTCTTACTCAGATTATATTCGTACTGGTAAAAAGTACATTCTCGGTACAGGATACTCGCTTCATCAGAGTGTTCGGCTCAACCCTAGTCTCTACTTTTGGTCTGTCATAAAACATCTTTCTCCTCCTTTTTCTGTCTTTTCATGTCTGTGTCTGCTCACCATGCTGATGTACAACTAACTCTGCTTTATCATTCTGCACACCTTTGGTCCGTCATATCTCACTTTCGGTGCTTTTTTTCTCCCTCCCTCCCTCTCTAGTCGTGTCTTCCTCCTCTTCGTTAGAACAGATCACTGTGATGCAGTGACACAACCTCTGTGTGCTAAAAAGAGGAGCTTCAGAAGAGCTGGACGTGTGTGGAAAAGCAATTAACTGCATGTTCATTACTTCCAGTTGAAATACTTACTAATCCCTCAGATAAAAAATAAATCAAGCACGTACAAGACATTTTTCAGATCTAATCTCTCACCAATCAGTACGACTACATGTGTCTATTTAGCATAATTGATCTCATGTAGGTGTTTCTGCCTCTCCAACAGTCAATTAGAGTGGAAATCGACAGTTTTTTTTCCTTTAACTTACCATTATGAAGTAAATGTTGATTGCACAGAGTAATGGCTATAGCATAATGGCACCATCGACGTTTGGATTGGTTCCCTGTGAGCCTTGATTTCACTGTGCAATTCTGTTAGCCACCGGGTACGATCGCTCAGGAAAATGAAGGCTCCATTTATGCCACAAAGGAAATAGTACATCAATCATTGCACAACCAAAACAAGAGGAAGATAGTGCTATTGTTTTCCGTGTCAGCCGTCATTTTCGGCAGAGTTGCCGCGCCTTCCTCCACCCCAATCACCTCCAGCCATCGTATCCAGAGTCCAGGACAAGCTTAACAAAGGCTCATTCCTCTACTAATCCAAATCACTTCACTGCCACTTCTTCATCTTCTTCTCATCTCATCTTTATCACCTCTACCACCACCAGCGTCTACTCCCCAGGGGGTTGGGTTTGCTGATGTTCAGGGCTGTACAGCTGATGTGTTTCTGACAGTAAACAAAGCTCAAGAATTTGATTGCAAGAAAATCACTGCAAATTCGATCCTTCCCAATCTAGGGGTCGTAACCCAAACAAGGGGCTGCAGGATGAATCTAAGGGACTATTACCAGTGGAGGAAACAAGAGGATCACAATACCCCTGTGATGGGAGAGTGCAAATAAATGTTGCTTCATATTGAGGGCTCACAGGCATTAAAGTTTGGGAACCAGTGCTTTAGCACAATAATAAGAGGATATCTCCGATTTCTGTTTAAAGCTTGAGTAACATTCCCAAACTGCTGCTTCGCTAATGTTTTTCTAACTGGACTGAACGCTACTTAAATTGTTTTATCGCTTATGTTTAAGTAGAACTCAGAGGACAATACATTATTTAATATGCTGCTGTCTTGACACTACCTATTCTTCTGAATGAATCCACAAGCTGTGGTAAAACGCCTGTAAAATACTGCAGCAGAGTTTTGTAACAGGTCCAAAAAAGGCTCAGTATTGTATCGCCTGTGGCTTCCTTGCGCTGGTTGCCTGATGTTATTTTTTAAGATTGATTTAAGGCCTTATTGATGAATTATAGGTCTAATCAAAGACATGACAGCTGTATTTGTGATCGTCCGTGACCTTTAATCCCCTAACAAGGCCAATCGTAGCCTTAGATCATCAGGCATGACTGAGTGTTGCTGCAGGGGTTTGTAGGGTTTGAAATGCTCTGCGTGGAAATGATGCTGACTAAATCAATATTGGTGTTTTCAAAATCTATTTATAGGTTTCAAAGACTTGTGATTACTCCATTGACATGTTTTATACTATATGTTTCATTTCCTTTTTATGGGTGTTTTTATGTTTTTCTTTAAATGTTTTGCTTTTTTAAAACTGAAATGCTCTAATTAGTTAAATTATTATCTCTAATAATATGATTACTTTTAGAAGTCATGTTGGCAAAGAAAATCTCTCCCCTCAGGCTCATTAAATATTTATACAAATGAAAGTCATGTTCAAGCAAAATATGAATCTCAGACATAAAACAGTTAAAATATAGATCTAAAATATAAACATGAATAATATATGCACTCACTGGCCACACCTGTTCAACTGCTTCTTAACGCAAATAGCTAATCAGCCAATCACATGGCAGCAACTCAATGTATTTAGGCCTGTAGACATGGTGAAGACGACCTGCTGAAGTTCAAACCGAGCATCAGAATGGAGAAGAGGATTTAAAGGGTTTATAGAGGATGGTCCAAAAAAGAGAACATATCCAGTGAGCGGCAGTTCTCTGGGTGAAAATGCCTTGTTGATGCCAGAGGTCAGAGGAGAATGGCCAGACTGGTTCAAGATGACAGAAAGGCAACAGTAACTCAAATAACCACTGGTTACAACCAAGGTCTGCAGAAGACCATCTCTGAACCAACAACACATCGAACCTTGAAGCTACAGCAGCAGAAGACCACACCAGGTGCCACTCCTGTCAGCTAACAGGAAACTGAGGCTACAATTCACACAGGCTCACCAAAACTGGACAATAGGAGACTGGAAAACGTTGCCTGGTCTGATGAGTCTGGATTTCTGCTGCTACAGTCAGATGGTAGGGTCAGAATTTGGCGTAAACAACATGAAAGCATGGATCCATCCTGCCTTGTATCAACGACTCAGGCTGGTGGTGGTGGTATAATGGTGTGGGGGGGACACCAAGGGGACACTCTGGGCCCCTTAGTACCAACTGAGCATCATTTAAATGCCACAGGGTACCTGAGTATGTGTGTGCAGTGTACCCATCTTCTGATGGCTACTTCCAGCAGGATAACGCACCATGTCACAAAGCTCAAATCATCTCAAACTGGTTTCTTGAACATGACAATGAG